AAAATTTACTAATTATAAAAAAACAGACATTATTTGATTGGTCACATTATATCTACTACATGTAAGATTTACATAGATGTGAGAAAATTACCTATATTTTGAAACAAAAAATTCTTAATACTATTTAGAATATGAAACGGAGGGAGTAAAACATAGTTTTAATGAAAATACATAATTTAATTGGTTTAGTTAATAAATACAGAACTTAAGAAGAAACTATAGTTTGCAAAAGAAATGAATGATTATTAATGAAATAAATCGAGCTATAAAACTGGCATTTGTTACTTTGTATTTGTAACTTTAAGAATTATTATTTTCAGTAACAGAACTATAAGATTTATTACTCTAAATAATCCAAAACCAATAATTGTTAATTTTTTAGTATTCCTTTGAATTGAGTTTTAATTTAAATGTTAGTGTTAAATAACTCTATTCAATAAAGTCAACAAAATATCTGATCAGACCATTCTAAAACACTTTATACAATTCTTTGTATTCGATCGATGGGTTGTGTCGACCACTCGCGGTGGCTCTCCTCCTGTCAAGAATCCTATGAATCGTTTCGGTTTCTTCATGCGTACAACCGAGTTGGTGGCGATCGAGGCCACAATACGATTTTTATCTAATCTTGAGTTACGATTCACTTGTGTTCATCATTAGTTGATGCCAAAGACGTTTTGGTTAATCAAATGTATCTGAGGTATATTTTTAAAAAACTTCGGTAAAAATAATAAAAGTTAGATGTAGAGATTTCTCAGATACTTTTGATTAACCAAAACGCTATATATAATATTTTGTAGGGATACATGTTGCAGTAAAATTGCAATAAATAGGTAATAAAAGTGGGATTCATTGAATGATGCCATAAAAATCTTTAATTAAAGATGAATCAACAAATAAATGAAAAGTCAAAAAATTAACCAAGAATCTTACACATGTCATGTTTAAAAGAGATGAATTAGTGACATGGCACTTTCATATGAGAGAAAAGCCTACTTTATATAATCTATATAATAATGATTCACTTTTGAAGCTCCTAAGGCTATCCACATCAGCAGCCGAGTGGGTCCCACATATTTAAATTTTAAAAACTTATAGCTTTTGTAAAATGTCTATAAACAATGAATACACTTTAGCAAAGTGGTATAAGGCATTTAGTTAGGTCTGCAAGTGTGTGGGTTCAAACCACGCAGCTGTTATGTATTTTAGTTTTTTCGTTTGGATTATTATCATATGGGCTTTTAAGTTTTAATGTTTTATGTTTTTTTTTCTCTGGACTTATTGTTTAAAGCCCAAAATAGTGGAAAAATCCTAAAGTTTGACGAACTCAAACCCAAAAACAATTAAAAATGGATCAAAAAAAGAATATCCAAAAAAAAAGAAAAAAAACGAGTCTCATGCGGCACTATCATGCCCTAATATATATTTTTACTGTTAGAACATATTTCCTAATATATATTTCCTAATGATTCACTTTTGAAGCTCCTAAGGCTATCCACATCAGCAGCGGAGTGGGCCCGCGTATTTAAATTTTAAAAACTTATAGTTTTTTAAAAATGTCTATAAACAATGAATACACTTTAGCAAAGTGGTATAAGGCATTTAGTTAGGTCTGCAAGTGTGTGGGTTCAA